TTTCCTAGCCCAGGTGTTCGTGTGTGTGTGTGTGTGTGTGCGTGTGTGTGTGTGTGTATGTGTGTAGAAAGTGTGCTGCAGGGTGTGTACAATCAGCACGGGGTGGGGGGTGGCAGGGCAGGGTGTGCAGAGGAAGGGCTGTTACTCAGAGCCTGGTTGAGGTTGGCCAGTGCAGCAGAGCCAGCAGGAGCCTGAGGAACAAGTTCTCAGCACAGAAGCTGTGCTTGCATTTTTAAAAATTATAAAAGCCATATATGCTCACTGTAAGAACTGAAGCACTATAGTGGTACACAGAGAAATCACCATCAACATCAAAGTCGAAACTGAAAGATTTTCCCCAATCTCATATTCCCCAAATAGCCACAACTAAGATTGGTGTGCACCCTTCTAGATTCTTTTCAATATCTATATAATTATGCATATTTAGAATATACTTATATAAGATACATATATATTTTTTAATGAGTAACTTCACACATACTATTCTGCCACTTCATTTTCCCACTTAACATACTGCCAACACAGTATTTCCATTTCCACTTAGCTCTTTCCATCACCGAGAGGAGCCCAGAAGAGAACCTGGGGGGAGGATGTTTGTTGCTGGGTCCACCCTCCTCAGGAGCATCCGGCAGGAGACCCCAGCCAGCCTTGCGAATATAGCACTACCTACAAACAAACAGGCAACCAGGACCAGCACCAGGAAATGGTCTAGTGGAGGAGGGCTTAAGAAACCTGTTCAGGAGTGTGTCATGGAGAAGACTTCAGGTTCACCTGGGTTCACCCGGGTAGGACTAGATGTCAGTCAGCATCTCTTCACCAGTATCCACAGTGCCTTACCCAGCAACGCATATGGACCTGTCTCTCCTGTCAGCAGAACCGTCTCTAATACCCCAGAATGGAAGAACCACAGGGGACCCCCATGGCTGTCCCCAACACCACAGACAGCGTCTGCACAGAGTGAACGCTCAGAAATGTCTGATGACCAAAGGAAGATGCAGGTGGGATGGGGCGTTTAGACGGCAGCCTGCAGAGCTGCCTGGGGACCCCACGGTGCCGGGGCAGGAAAGGGGAAAGAGACCGTACTGAGGGCTGCATTGCAAGGAGGGAACCCTTGGCTACAGTAACAGGATGAACTGAGGAGACTGAATGCTTTCAGTTTTGTGCCAGAGCCATGCTTTGTCTTGGTGCCAGGTCTGCTGGGGTGGGGGCTTTTCAGAGACACGTTCCAAATCACTCAAAGAGGGTGGGAGGCAGTGGAGAAATTAGGGAAGACCCTTTTAAGGAGGGAAAAAAGGGTAGGAGGAATCTAAGGATATTTCCCAACAAGGATCCAAGCCAAGAATGGCAAAGGGATTCATCAGACTGGCTGCTGGTGGTGTCCCAGGGCACTGTGTTGAGAAGGATTCTGAAGCTGCATTCAGCTCAGTGGGAAAGGGCTGTATGACTGATTAGGGGCATTTGCTGTGGGAGTGACGTCATGGGCACGTACTGCAGAACCACAGAACAACCACTTCCCCACGGGGTTCCAATGAGAAGTAAAACTGAGATGAATGACATCATAAAGGAAATCAGACCACGGACAGAGGTTTTGTTCTGTTTTGCTCTCCACGTGAAAATAAGGCCCAGGGAGCGCCCACCCGACCTGCGCTCAATGCTGCCACCCTAGAGGCGCTGTACCAGCTGGTGCCACCGTTTGGGCAGGGAAATCTACAAGGCTTCCTCGCCTTCTGCTGTCCTTTTCAACCACTGTGCCCTCCCTGCCCACCTTAGGCAGCTGGGAATAAAGAAGTGAGGATGCCACCCTGAGTTCCTCTCACCTGCATGCAGTGGGCTCTTCTCTGGGCTGGTGACATCTACGAGGGTCTAACAGAGGGAAGAACGAGGGTGGCCAGTCTCCTGGAAGCAGGCAGAAGCATCTGATACAGAAATGTTTTTATATGGAAACTCAAGAGACAACATCGGCTCCTCCGTGAATCTCCAGTGAGTTTACAGCAGTCGCAGGTGCAGGGTCTATTTCCTCCCGCTTGTTACCAGGGGCCAGTGAGGATCTGACACAGATGGTGATGGCTCCACGGTCGGCCCCAGGCAGCAGCTCAGGGCCCTGGCCTGCAGGTGAGGAACAGAGTGCTTGCAGATGGGAAAGAAGGGATTCCGAGGGGAGCACGGATAACTGAGGGTTGGAGGGGAGACCTTCTTTCTCTTCAGTTAATTCCCCACTGCATCAGCTGTAGCGGAAGGAGGCCCTGGTCAGGTGATCCTGGCCCTGAGGGGAAGGAGGAAAGATAAGACTCTCATCTAACTGTTACCAGTAAGCAAGATCTAGGGGTCAAACAATTCATCTGGAAACTGTTTTTGTGAAGCAAACTTGGCAGAGTATTACCGTGAGAACAAACTGGGGAGGGGCTAGGATGATGGTAAATGTCCAATAAAAGACATTATAAGAAAACCGTATCTTCTTGCCTTGAAAATGAGTTTTCCTGAAGTGAAAACAAGCAATGAAGTTTGAAGGTCATGGCAGAGAGCAGACCAGTGTCACTCCAGGAAGGTTCTGGGAGCAGGGGATCGTGGCGGGCAGGGCGGGATGGTGCAGGTGAATTCACAGGCCTCGGACGAGCCTACGAGCTGACCATGCACAGCGGCTGGGACCCCACTTCTACCACCGAAAGTCACCTTCCTCGTACTCATTCTGGTTTCTCCATGTGAACCAGTAAAACTAACCACATCACAAAACAACCACCTTACGTGGTGTTTACTGGGTTTCGGATGGTCCTTGGGTCACTCATATGTGTGAACTGGGAGAGAAAGGAAGGATGAGAGGGGAGTGTTCTTCCTCCACGGGAGTTTGTGGGAGCGGGGGTACAGCTCGGTATCTGGTGGTTGGAAGGAGGCTGGAGCTGCTTTGAGCTGGATTCTGCTCCCTGCAGACAACTGGAAACAATTCCATGCCATTCCCACCACCTGCAGCTAGACAACATCCTAGGACTTCTTAGGAACCAGAGGGATCTCTACTTCTCTCATTGCCTCATCCCACTCTGTCCTCAGTCTAGGCTAAGAAGCTGACACTGGCTGCCATGTCTTCAAAGAGCGGGTGGTACTGCTGCTTAGAGCATGTCCCGCCCGAGATCTCAGTGTTACTTGGTCAATTCAGATCCCAAACTTGTTAAAGGGGCCTGGTATTCTTGGGTTAGAGCAGGAAGTTGAACTCCCTGGTGAGGCTGGTTCAAGATGAGGCTCAAGAAAAGTCACTGGGAACCCCCTCCTCCACCTGAGAGGCACCAGCCCCCTCCCCATCCCAGCAGAGGGAAAGCAGGCAGGCATCTATGCTCTTTGTCCTCCAGAGCACCTTCAGAAGGAAAAGCTTCCAACTGGGGCGGTCACTGCTCAAAGGCCAAGTCCAGGACAATCAGGACTGGGCTTGCTAGAAACGTCTTCCTTCCTCCTGAAGTTGCCAATCACCAGGGTGGTCACAAGTGGCAAGGTGCCATGGCTCAGGCAGGCGTCCAGCTACCCTGGGATCTGTGAAGCCTTGGCATTAAAACCACCTTGCGGCTGAAGATTTAATGACATGGAAAAATGGCCCTGAACTATTCAAAGGGAGGAGTGAGTTATGTGTAAAGTAGGATCCCATTTGGGGGATAAAAAAGTTAGAAGAATAGTAACAAGGTCATGGGATTACAGGTATTTTTCTTTTTTTTCTCTCTCTCTGTTTATTTGTATTTTCTTTTTTTTTTTCTCTACAATAAAAATGCACTGATTTTATGACAGGATGTTTTGTAAAAGTCACTTTCATTTATTAAAAGGGAGAAGTAGCCCGTATCTGAGCACAGCTTTAAAAAACAGACAACTTTTCTTCCCTGTCTTGGACATAACCCAATACCATGACTCTTCACCCAGGATGTTTAATTATGCAAAATGTGTTACTAACCTTTTCCTTTTGTAAGAGAGGGTCAGAAGCCAGGAAAGCTGTGAATGTGGATGCTTTAGTAAAAAGCTAAAGTATTTGATTTAAAGCCAGCGTCTAGGGCTGGGCCTGGGCTCACTCTCATCAGCCTGCTCCATCCTGTCCTGCTCCTGGGTGTAGGGTCTGGCCCCATCCATGCTGCCTAGCAGGGCTCTGATGCCCCAGGGGAGGGAGCAGGGAGGCTTGCTAGACCTTCCTGATGAGAATCTGCAGTCACCACAGCTGAAGCAAAATGGTTTCTCGTTGACTAGAAAATTCAGTGACTTACCTTTTATCTTTTGAGCTCTGCAGATAACTAGTTTGAGGCTTTAGAAAGAGAAACAAGGGAGAAGAGGAGGAACTGAGGGGATATTGGAAGTTGATCATCCCTCTACTCAATGATGTTTCTTAGTGGCCATTTTTGTACAGGCTTTGCCTGAGGCACTGATGATACAGGGGTTAAAAAAAGTCCCAGCTCTCCTGGAACTGTCACGCTGGCTGGGGAGTGAAGAAAGCTGGCAGGCAATTAGGATGCAGAGGGATATGGTAGGGGCTGAGGAGCGGCTGTGGGAGGGAGCCTAGAGCAGGAGCACCTCCTCCTGGCTCAGGCATCAGAGTAGGCTTCTTGGGGGAGGAGACTTCTAGACCAAGATCTACATGACAAAGAGGAGCTGCTGAGGCCAAGGACAAGGGTGAGGGGGGAGGCCAGAGAAGAGGGCATCTGGCAGGGTCAGCATGCACAAAGACCCAGAGTGAGAATGGTATGTTTAGGATGTGAGTGAGGACAAGGCTGTTAAGGAGTGACACTTAACCTAGTGGGCAATGAGGAGCCACTGAGGGCACTGGAGCAAGGGGGTCACTTGCTCAGTTCTGTTTTTAAATGCCCCAGCTGTGGCTGCGGTGACCTTTCTACAATGAGAAAGGGAAAAGGAGAGCGTTCAGGAGGCAGGGCTGGTGGCAGAGGCTGTCCTCTAGAGCTCTGGGAGCCTGTTGGTGGCTCTCAGACTCAGGCTCTGAGTTCAGCAGCAAGGTGGGGAGATGGTACCTGTGTAACAGCGGGTGGGCACCCTGGTTTGAGTCCTCACTCTTGAGCCTGGGTTACTGAATTTGGACAGTGAAGCTAAATGCATTTCTCTCCAAGGGCTGTTGAAACTGCTGAGTAGAAACGGATAGGAGAGCTCACTACAAACAGGTAAGTTCTGTGCCGACCTCAGTTACTAAGCACTCAGCTCACCACCAGTCACAGGTGGCCATTTCAGAAGGACTTTCTGACAAGAAGGATGCCAATTCTAGCCCAGAATTAACACAGATTAAAGAGGAAAGAAATGACAGGTATTTCAGAAAGCCACACCATTTTCATGGCCAAGAGAGACTCAAGCTCCAAGACGGCACAACTGGCTGGGAAGGCGGTGCACTGACCTGGCGCTCAGGGGCTGGTCACCACGTGGTCCCCGCGGATCGCCTGCAGCGAGAGCTCGTAGCCCAGGAACATGGCCGCGCTCATGGGGAAGCCCCGCACGGCATTGACCGTGATGCCTCTGAAAAACACCTTTGGCGGGAGGCGGCGTTACCGCAGGGCACCCTCTGCCGAGCGGCCACTGAGGCCAGAGAAAGGGCTGGCGATGCTGCCCACCCACGCCGGCACCCTGTCCCAGGCTGGACCCTACGGAGCCCAAAGTACCATCCAGGCGGAAACCCTCCGAGACACCCCAGCCACGCCCCCACCCTCACCCACGTCACTTCTCGCGGGGTTTCCCTTCCCAGGCCCCATACGCATGCGCTAGATACGATGCGCCACCTGTTTGAGTCCCACGAATTGCCGTTCTCTCTCGCGGGTACATGCGCACACGCACACACGCGTGATTCTTGGGACTGGAAGTCAGAGCTCCACACGCTTTGCCGTGGTAGGCAGAGGACCTGGCCGTGACAGGGCTTCAGAGGACGTCCCCAGAGGGGCAGGGTTGGGGGGAACCCAGGCCGTGCTCAAGACAACAGACGTGGAGTCCAGGCACAGCTTTGCCAGTTAGTAACTGTGTTACTTGGGCAAATGGCAAAGTCTCTAGAACTCAATTTTCCCACCTGTAAAATGGGGGTAATACTACTACTGACCTCATACAGTTGTTGAGGGAATAAAGGAGATGTTGCTTTTAAAAACATTTTCACAGTCCCTGCCATGCAGTAACCACTCGTTAACTGTTGACAATCACACCACTATCCTTAACATCAATAGTCACCACTTCATACAGAGTAGCACTCCACCTCGGTCATTAGATGAGTGCTGAGGGGTATTAATACAAGTGGCCTGCACTGACCAGGTGCTAAACCCCGCCTTTAATACAAGAAGACTATCTGTCTTCACCCCTAGGGAATATGGTAAGATGCTTCCCTTCCACCCTGAATCTTCCCACCTGGTGCTGGGTAGACACTGACCTATGTGATGTGGTTCCAGCCCCTGGGAAGTTTATAACCTATTAGGGGTGATAAGCCCTATTCAGGGGTAATTACAGTGTAACCTAGAACTTGATGAGAACAAATAAAGGACTTGGTGAAGGGTGGGGTGGGGAGGAGCTGTGATTAAATGTCTTCTCTGGAAAGAGATCACACATCTGAAGACAAATTGCTACCCAAGTGTGAACGGCCTTAGAAGTGTCAGGTATAAGATAGAAACCTGCTAACTGACTCCTGTATAATTTACTGTTCAGTGACAATGTGGTACTGTAATTTTAAGAAGGTAGAAATCCAGCCCCTTGCATGTCCCCAGTTTCCTCAGTTGTTGGACACTCTGGTGTCACAGTAGGTGCAGGCTACTGTCATGGGGCAGGACCTGAGCTGACATCCCTTCAGGAGAGGGAAGAGAAGGGGAGGGAATGACCTCAGTGAACTTTCAGGGAAGGGAGCTGGCCAGGATCCCCAGAGGTCAGCCAAACCCTGGAGTGATTCAGGTAGGGGGCAAGTGGGCTCCTTGTAACATCAGTACTCCTCTCTAATGTCTAACCTTTCTGGAATTCCACAGGCTCACCCAGGGTGACTGAATAACAGCAAGGAACTAGGTCAGGCTCCGAGAGGAAAATTCCATGCTGGGTGCACACAGAAGCTCTCGTGTGCACCTGGGTTTGGCGCTGCAAGGCCAGGCAAGCCAGGCAGGGCCCAGCTTGGTGTGTGATCCTCCTCTCCCATAGTGCTGGGCCATGCAGGAGCTGTGGGCCACCTCAGACAGCCAGAGGTGACTTCCCTCCCAGAGTGGCCTGCTCTGCTGTGAGGCCCAAAGATGCCAAACAAAGTGCTTTTACCCTGTCTTTTGGAACACAAAACACTAGACCAAGTCTTCATGAAGCCTTAATGGCTCCCCACTGGCCAAGGTCAAGACCATACTCTTCCCTGGCCTGCCAGGACCCACACGCTCTGTCCCTACACTTTCTCTAAGCTGCTTCTCCAACTTGACACTCAGGACAGTATACTGACCTGTCATTCTTCCTAAGGGGCCAGCTCTCTCCCACCACTGAGCCTCTGCTGTTCCCCTTTACTCGAATGCTCCCCAGACCCAGCTACACCCTCTGGTAGCCCTGCCAGGGCCATCCCGGGTAGGATTATGGCCCCTTGCCTTCTGTACACTCAGTATCTCTGCCTCACAACACTTCTCACACCATCCTTTAATCACCTGTGACTTGGCTATCTTCTTATTAATAGTCCCAGTCAGGGTAGTGAGACCAGGGCTGTGTGTGTGACTTATCTTTGAATCTCCAGCACCTGCACTGTGCTTGGCCTAGAGGACCCTCTACACATTGTACTAAATGAATCAGTGGATGGATGGCTGGATGGCTGGATGAACAAACTCCTTGATGTGAAAAAGAATGGTCTCTGAGCTGACAGAGTCCCGGTGGCGGCTATGGTAGTGAGGGATTCCTGGAGTGGAGGGAGGTCTCCAAACCCCCCAAATGGCAGACCAAAGAACAACCAACCCTAGTGCCTCAGGAGGCTTGTCTACTTAACAGATATTCCTCTCCATCCCTCCTAAGAGTCAACCGGTCTCACCCCACTGTCACAGACCCCTTCACAACAGTCACCTCTGTAGAGCAAAAGGACATCAAGTCACTCCTCCATCCTCCTTATTTCAGATGACAAGTCTCCAAGTGTGAGCCATGACCCACGTGGCACAGGACGGTCCTCACAGCAGGCAGAGAATGGATCCAAAACTACCTTGTCTTTCTTCCATTCTGACTTGGGGATGCCCCCAAAGTCCAAGGACGTCTAGTTTCCCTATCATAAAGGCTGCTTTACTGAATAATCACAGAGTTACAAGGGGCTACTAAAACTAGGCACCATTGTCACTATTTCACTCCTTTACTATCACTGAATTCTCCCATAGAACAGTGGGAAACAGGTTTCAGTAAGACTGTTTGGGAGTGGGTACTCCACGTAGCCAGCACCCACGGGGACTGGAGACATCCCTCAGCCCTGGGAAAAGGTGCTCCTCCTGCTGCTGGTGGAAATCTGTGAGATAACCCAACTTTCCAGGGCTGTGTGGGATTTTTTCCTCTTTGTTCAAGTTTGTATTTATATGAGACAATGGATGTTTGTTAAATATATTGTGGTAATAATTTCATGATATGTGTAAGTCAAATCATTATGCTATACACCTTAAACATCCACAGTGCTATATGTCAATTATCTAAACAAAACTGGGAAAAAAGACAATGAGGTGAGACTCCTAGGAAGATGGCAGAGTAGGAATCTGTCTCCACACCTAGACAGCTATTATACTGACATAATCTGTCAGATGTATATTAGATGTTCTAATTATATTAGAACTCTGGAGTTTACGGAAGGGTTTGGGCAGTGGTTAATTTTGGTCAATCTCAGCTCTTAGCATAGTAGCAGCTACCATCCCCTATCCCAAGCCCTTTCGAAGGCAGTTGTGCACATGTTCCTGGAACAATCTGCACACAGCCTGTGGGAGCCAGTGTGGGCAATGAGAACCTTGTCCTCCAAATACTGAACATCTGTTTTCTGGTCACTGGTTGCTGTTTCTGATCACAAAGTGCAAAGAGGAGGGCAGTCATTTTTGTTTAACCTCTTACCATTTTGCAAGCCCTTCTCCTCTGGCTGAAGTGACTTCCAGGGAATTTAAATGGATGGTGTCCCTTTCCCCTCCCTTCATTTTTCTCTTTTTCCTCTTTTGGGAGCCAGACATTAAAGACTAGCACATTCCAAACCAATGCATAATTGGGGAAAATTAGAAGGTGTCTGTGCATGTGCAGGGAAAGGCATAGGCTCAGAAAAGACCTGAGAAAACCTTAAGTTTGCACCTTGAGTTGATCTTTGGGACAGAGAAAGCCTACAACAACAAAAACAATAAAAATAAAATCCACTGAAAAAGAGGGAAAATCTAAAATCCATAGTTACCAGATTATTAGATTCAAATGTCTTGTTTTCAACAACAAAAAAAATCACAAGGCGTATAAAGAAACAGGCAAGTATGGTCTATTCAAAGAAAACTCAACAATTTCCCTCCAAAAGACCTGATAGCATATCTACTTGACAAAGACTTTAAAACATCCTTCTTAGATTCTTGAAAAACTGAAAACAGATGTGGAGAAGGTAAAAAAAATGATATGTGAACAAAATGGAAATATTAATAAATAAATAGGAAACCCAGAAAGAAATCAAACAGAAATTCTGGAGCTGAGAAGTATGGAATGAAAAACTGAAAAAATTCACTAGAAGGATACAATGATTTATTAGAGCAGGCAGAAGAAAGAATTAGCAAACTTTGAATATAAGACTACGGAAATTATTGAGTCTGAGGTACAGAAAGAAAAAACATCGAAGAAAAGTGAACAGAGCCTAAGGGACTTGTGGGAAACTATACGTATTGTAAGAGTCCAAGAAGGAGAAGAGATAGGGGCAGAGAGAATATCTGAAGTAACAACGGCTGAAAACTTTCCAAATTTGATGAAAGACGTAACTATAAACATCAAAGAAGGTCAATGAACTCCAAGTGAGGTGAACTCAGAGACCTATACCAACACACATTATAATAGACTTTTGAAAGGCAAAGAGAGAATCTTGAAAGTGGTAAGAGAGAAGTGACTCATTACACACAAAGGTTCCTCAAAAGACTTTCAGCAGATTACTCAATAGAAACTTTAGAGACCAGAAGGCAATGGGCTAATACATTCAAAGTGCTAACAGGAAAAAAAAAAACCTGTCAACCAAGAATCTTATAACCAGAAAAACTATCTTTTAAAACTGACGGAGAAATTAAGACCTTCCCAGATAAACAAAAGCTGAGAGAATTCATTTACCACTAGATCTACCCTGCAAAATATGCTCAAGGGAGTCCTGCAGGTTGAAATACAATCACTAGACAGTAACTTGAAGCTGTATGAAGAAATAAAGATCTCAGTAAAAGTAAATATATGGGGAGAGTGACATCAGTATTATGGCAGCACGAGATGGCCCATGTTTTGTCCCCAACAACAAAAATTCAGCATCCATCCATGAACAAAAGTGCCTCTGTGGGAGTTGTGGATCCAGCACCGCACACCAAGGGGCCCAATAGGAGTCATGTCCACCTGTGCATCAGGTAATAGGCAGACAGATCCTCTGTACTGGCAGTAAAAACTGCAGTGGCCTGTGAACTGGTTCCAGCCACCCTTGGCTGTAGTCCAGGAGCACCTGGGGAACACTGACTTGGATAGTCACACACAGATGAGAGAGTGTGGAAGTCCAGATTTCCAGAGGAGAAGTTTCAGTACCCCATTGGAGAAGAAAGAAAGAAGGAAAGGAGGAAAGAAAGAAGGAAAGAAAGAAAGGAAGGAAGGAAGAAAGAAGGGAGGAAGAAAGATAGAAGGAAGAGAGAGAGAGAGAGAGAG